TATATCTGAATTTAGGCACATTTTTTAAGATTTTTGAAAGAAAGAAAGAAAGAAAGAAAGAAAGAAAGAAAGAAAGAAAGAAAGAAAGAAAGAAAGAAAGAAAGAAAGAAAGAAAGATGTCAAATTAAAAATTATAATTTGTTCTCTTTACGATTGTTCATTGTTTCAAATATTTTGCATAACAATTTAGAACTTAAAAAAAAAGATAACAAAACTTAAGACTGCTAGTTGATCAGCCTCTTTAATAAAATAATAGTTCACCCAAAAATGAAAAATTTCCATCACTTGCTCAGCAATGGATCCTCTGCAGTGAATGGGTGCCGTCAGAATGAGAGTCCAAACAGCTGATAAAAACATCAAGATAATCCACAAGTAATCCACACCACTCCAGTCCATCAATTAATGTCTTATAAAGTGAAAAGCTGTTTGTAAGAAACAAATCCCATTCACTGCAGAGGATCCATTGGTGAGCAAGTGATTTAATGCTACATTTCTTCAAATCTGTTCTGATGAAGAAACAAACTCATCTACATCTTGTATCTTTTTAGCAAATTGTCTTTTGTTTTGTGAACTATTCCTTTAACATAAAGGCACCAGACCACAGTTTATGCACATTCATAAGTCACTGATCACATTTAATCATGTCAGCTGTAGAAAAGGAGGACATATCAAATACTGAGACATGTTGTTACTCAAATTGTTATACAGATAACATTTTTCTCCCTACTTTATTTCATAAAGGTTTTCAGATTGTATTGTAATTTTGATTTTGTTTTATTTTATTTTAAGCACCATAAATGCTCAACAGATGGATAGAAACAGTGACACTAAAAGGGTTGGTCTTCCAATCATGTCAATCACTCTAACAATTACCTTGGTGGCATTATTGATCAAGGACATACTGTAATCTGTGTCTAATGTGTTTAATTCTCTATGGTCATCCATTTTACAGCTCTTATGTCATCGATGACTCAAACAGAGCCTGATTGAGTAGCACCACATCACTGTGTTGATCTATAATCTTCAGAACACTTAAAATACAGCCTTTATTGTGTGGTTTTGAATCTAATTTGACTCAATCTGCTGTATGTGCCTCAATGCGTCGCTGTCCTTGGTGCTGAATTAAACCAAACACAGACCGTTATTACAAAGCTGGTGAGAAGCTATAACCTCATTAAAGATATAATAAAATGTAATGTTTTAATAGATTTATAAAAGATTATTTAAGTGTGACGACGAAGAAAGTATTTAGAAAGTATTACTGTATCCAGTAAGTATCAAGTTAATGTGGATGGCATATTTATATTTCCGTCCCATAAAGAGCCACAAGGACACTCATAAGTGAAAAACGTATTTCCCTCAGAACTTTTAAACTGTGCTTTTAAAAGTATTTCTGCTGAATGTTAAGACAGATTGTCGCGCTGAAAACCAAAGCGCTTTAACCTATTAAGAAGTCTGACCCCGTCATTCCCTATCAGAGTGAAAGCATTTTTATTAACAGTTTACAGAAACATCTTCATGATTACAACTTTCTGACCAATCAGAGCGCATGGCATCGAATTACCACAGCAACATCTGGAGGGCCACTAATGGGCTACATATGTTTTTCCACTGTTAATGTGTAAACATGTTTTTTTTCTTTCTCCATACTTTCACTTAAGAATGATAGACTGAGCTTTTTCACTGTTTACCAAGAGTTCAGTAATCCGTATGGATAAATCACTGCGGTCAGCTGCTAACCAAAGCACTAGTGATGACATTAAAATGCCCAGAAGCACTTAAAAACAAAGCAGCTGTCAATTTAGCAGTTTCTCATGATGTGTGCACAGCAACAAGCATTGAGATGTTCAAAAACAATAACATATTTACATAAAGGCAAATATGACATTAGCCCATATGTGTTTGTGTCTAAATAAAGGCACAAAGTATAAATGTATTAATCTTTCATTTGGTCCAACTTGTCATAAATAAAATAAAACTAACTACAGTAACTAACTAAAATAAATATTTTTATATGTAGGCAAAATGTATAAATGTGTTCATATTGCTTCCTTTCGGTTATTTTCTCATTTTCTTTTCAGGATTATTTGATTAATAGAATATAAAAAGTAGCATTTATTTGAAAATATTGTAACGGGGTGAAGAATCACACGACAAGTAATCTCAATCAATACCCCGGAGGGTGGATTTATTGGGGTGATGGGTGTTTGTGAGAAAGGTCTAGGTAGATGCTCCGGTGCCGTGAGTGCTCTCTTCCGTCTTCCCAGTGCAGAGGGTCCGTGCAGTGCTCCTGTGGGGCTGGTCGGTCACACGCTGCTTTCTGTGGGAAAAATGAGATGGAGAGTTAGTGCTAAGTCTCATGGAGGAATCTCCTAGATGACAGGGCTTGCGTGGTTTATGTAGCCGCCGCTTGATGAGGTGCAGCTGTGACCGATCAGCCTCTGATGATGGCCAGGTGCTCCTTGCTTGTTTCCAGGGCGACGCTGACAAAGCGTCGGGACGCTCGTCACACACTCCCCCCCCCCCCCCAAGCATCGTCCTGCTCCTGTTAATGATCTGAGATAGTAGTAGGGGAGAGATAGGGGGTGGGTGGGGAGTGACCCCTAACAGACCTGCGAAAGCTGCCCAGATCTGAGAGAGGCCATCCGCGTTGGCGTTCGCGGCTCCAGCCCGATGACGTACCTCGAAGTGGAAGTCCTGGAGCACGAGGAACCATCGGGTCACTCTGGCATTGGTATCCTTGGCGCGGAACATCCACTGAAGGGGTGCGTGGTCCGTGACCAGGGTGAACTTCCGGCCCAGGAGGTAGTACCGCAGCTCCAGGACTGCCCCCGCCCCCCCCCCCCCCCCCCAAGCATCGTCCTGGTCCTGTTAATGATATGAGACAGTAGGGGAGAGATAGGGGGTTGGTGGGGAGTGACCCTTGACAGACCTGCGAAAGCTGCCCAGATCCAAGAGAGGCCATCCGCGTTGGCGTTCGTGGCTCCAGCCCGATGACGTACCTCGAAGTGGAAGTCCTGGAGCGCGAGGAACCATTGGGTCACCCTGGCATTGGTATCCTTGGCACGGGCCATCCACTGAAGGTGTGTGTGGTCCGTGACCAGGGTGAACTTCCGGCCCAGGAGGTAGTACCGCAGCTCCAGGACTGCCCACTTGACAGCTAGGGCCTCCTTCTCCACCGCGGCGTGGTTCCTCTCAGCCGGGATCAGCGTCCTGCTAATGTAGATGATCGGATGCTCCTCACCCTCCTGGATCTGTGACAGGACGGCTCCCAGTCCTGTGTCGGAGGCATCCGTCTGCAGCAGGAAGGGGCAGCTAAAGTCCGGGGCTCGGAGGACGGGCTCCGAGATGAGGGCCCCCTTCACCCTCTGGAAGGCCTCCTCCGCTGCTGGTGTCCACTGTACCTTCTCCGGCTGCCCCTTCCTGGTCAAGTCTGTCAGGGAGGTGGCTAAAGAGGAGAAGTTGGGGATGAAGTAGCGATAATACCCCGCCAACCCTAAAAAGGCTCATATCTGGGTCTTGGTCTCGGGTCTCGGAGCGGAGCGTACCACCTCCACCTTCGGCCAAATGAGACCCCGTCCCACCTGGAAACCCAGGTACTTCGCCTCTTAGAGGGCAAGGTGGTATTTGTGAGGGTTGGCAGTGAGTCCAGCCCTCCGGAGCTCCGAGAGCACCCTCCGTAACCGGTCCAGGTGGTCTTCCCATGCCTCGGAGTGGATCACAACGTCGTCCAGATAGGCCGCGGCGTAGGCCTAATGAAAAAGGATGTCCATCATTCGCTGGAGCGTGGCGGGTGCCCCGTGGAGGCCAAAAGGAAGGGTCCGGTACTGCCAGTGGCCACTAGGGTTAGAGAAAGCAATCTTAGGTTTGGCATTCTCAGAGAGGGGTACCTGCCAGTAGCCTTTGGTGAGGTCCAACATCGAGATATACCGGGCCCTTCCCAGCCGGTCCAACAGTTCATCCACCCGAGGCATGGGGTATCCGTCGAACTCTGATACCTCATTGAGGTGACGGAAGTCGTTGCAGAAACGGAGGGTGCCGTCCGGTTTCGGGACCATCATGATGGGGCTGGCCCATGGGCTGCGTGATGGTTCTATCACCCCCAACTTCAGCATCTGTTGAATTTCCTCAATAGCTCACCGACGAGCCTCAGGGACGCGGTAGGGCCGTTGCTTGACAACAACCCCTGGTGGCGTCCGTATGTCGTGCTGCAGGACGTTGGTCCGCCCGGGAAGAGAGGACATCAGAGAACTGACCGACCAGGTGCTGCGGCTCCCTCTCCTGGGCAGCCGAGAGGTGGGGGTTGACGTCAACAACCACGGGATCAGAGATGGCGAGGGCCGCAAGCTGGTCTCTAGTCCCCATTCATTTCTTCAGGAGGTTAATGTGTTAGAGCTGCTCGGCTCTCCTCCTTCCTGGCTGACGCACCCGGTACGTCACCGGCCCAATCTTCTCCAGCACCGTATAGGGACCCTGCCAGGTGGCCAGGAATTTGCAGGCC